GTAGCTTGATGGGGATAGCATTGAATCTGTAAATTACTTTGGGCAGTATGGCCATTTTCACGATATTGATTCTTCCTAACCATGAACATGGAATGTTTCTCCATCTGTTTGTGTCTTCTCTTATTTCGTTGAGCAGTGGCTTGTAGTTCTCCTTGAAGAGGTCCTTTACATTCCTTGTTAGTTGTATTCCTAGGTATTTTATTCTCTTTGTGGCAATTGTGAATGGCAGTTTGTTCTTGATTTGGCTCTCTTTAAGTCTGTTATTGGTGTGTAGGAATGCATGTGATTTTTGCACATTGATTTTGTATCCTGAGACTTTGCTGAAGTTGCTTATCAGTTTCAGGAGGTTTGGGGCTGAGACGATGGGGTCTTCTAGATATACAATCATGTCGTCTGCAAATAGAGACAATTTGACTTCCTCCTTTCCTATTTGAATGCCCTTTATTTCTTTTTCTTGCCTGATTGCTCTGGCTAGAACTTCTAATACTATATTGAATAGCAGTGGTGAGAGCGGGCATCCTTGTCTGGTGCCACATTTCAAGGGGAATGCTTCCAGTTTTTGCCCATTCAGTATGATATTGGCTGTTGGTTTGTCATAAATAGCTTTTATTATTTTGAGATACGTTCCATTGATACCTAGCTTATTGAGTGTTTTTGGCATAAAGGGCTGTTGAATTTTGTCAAAGGCCTTCTCTGCATCAATTGAGATAATCATGTGGTTTTTGTCTTTGGTTCTGTTTATGTGGTGAATTACGTTTATAGACTTGCGTATGTTGAACCAGCCTTGCATCCCCGGGATGAAGCCTACTTGATCATGGTGGATAAGCTTTTTGATGTGCTGTTGCAATCGGCTTGTCAGTATTTTCTTGAAGATTTTTGCATCTATGTTCATCATGGATATTGGCCTGAAGTTTTCTTTTCTTGTTGAGTCTCTGCCGGGTTTTGGAATCAGGATGATGTTGGTCTCATAAAATGATTTGGGAAGAATTCCCTCTTTTTGTATTGTTTGGAATAGTTTCAGAAGAAATGGTACCAGCTCCTCTTTGTATGTCTGGTAGAATTCAGCTGTGAACCCATCTGGACCTGGGCTTTTTTTGGGTGGTAAGCTCTTAATTGCTGCCTCAACTTCAGACCTTGTTATGGGTCTGTTCAGGGTTTCGGCTTCTTCCTGGTTTAGGCTTGGGAGGAGGCAAGTGTCCAGGAATTTATCCATTTCTTCCAGGTTTATTCGTTTGTGTGCATAGAGTTGTTTGTAATAATCTCTGATGATGGTTTGAATTTCTGTGGAATCTGTGGTGATATCCCCTTTATCATTTTTTATTGCATCAATTTGGTTATTCTCTCTTTTCTTTTTTATTAATCTGGCTAGTGGTCTGTCTATTTTGTTGATCTTTTCAAAAAACCAGCTCCTGGATTTATTGATTTTTTGAAGGTTTTTTTTGTGTCTCTATCTGCTTCAGTTCTGCTCTGATCTTAGCTATTTCTTGTCTTCTGCTAGACTTTGAGTTTTTTTGATCTTGCTCCTCTAACTCTTTCAATTTTGACGATAGGGTGTCAATTTTTGATCTCTCCTTGTTTCTCATGTGGGCACTTATTGCTATATATTTTCCTCTAGAGACTGCTTTAAATGTGTCCCAGAGATTCTGGTATGTTGTGTCTTCATTCTCGTTGGTTTCAAAGAACATCTTTATTTCTGCCTTCATTTCATTGTTTATCCAGTCAACATTCAAGAGCAAGTTGTTCAGTTTCCATGAAGCTGTGCGGTTCTGAGTTAGTTTTTGAATTCTGAGCTCTAACTTGATTGCACTGTGGTCTGAGAGACTGATTGTTATGATTTCTGTTCTTTTGCATTTGCTGAGGAGTGATTTACTCCCACTTATGTGGTCAATTTTAGAGTAGGTGTGATGTAGTGCTGAGAAGAATGTTTATTCTGTGGATTTGGGGTGGAGAGTTCTGTAAATGTCTATTAGTTTTGCTTGGTCCAGGTCTGAGTTCAAGTCCTGGATATCCTTGTTAATTTTCTGTCTGGTTGATCTGTCTAATGTTGACAATGGGGTGTTAAAGTCTCCCACTATTATTGTGTGGGAGTCTATGTCTCTTTGTAAGTCATTAAGAACTTGCCTTATGTATCTGGGTGCTCCTATATTGGGTGCATATATATTTAGGATCATTAGCTCTTCTTGTTGCATTGATCCTTTTACCATTATGTAATGTCCCTCTTTGTCTCTTATGATCTTTGTTGCTTTAAAGTCTAATTTATCAGAGATGAGAATTGCAACTCCTGCTTTTTTTTGCTCTCCATTTGCTTGGTAAATCTTCCTCCATCCCTTTATTTTGAGCCTTTGTGTATCCTTGCATGTGAGATGGGTTTCCTGGATACAGCACACCGATGGGTTTTGGCTTTTTATCCAATTTGCCAGTCTGTGTCTTTTGATTGGGGCATTTAGTCCATTTACATTTAGGGTTAATATTGTTATGTGTGAATTTGATACTGCCATTTTGGTGCTAGCTGGCTGTTTTGCCCTTTAGTTGAGCTGGTACTTGTTGTTCCTTTATATGTGTAGAGCCTCTTTCAGGAGCTCTTGTAGAGCTGGCCTGGTGGTGACGAAATCTCTGAGTACTTGCATGTTCCCAAAGGATTTTATTTTTCCTTCACTTATGAAGCTTAGTTTGGCTGGATAGGAGATTCTGGGTTGAAAGTTCTTTTCTTTAAGGATGTTGAATATTGGCCCCCACTCTCTTCTGGCTTGTAGGGTTTCTGCTGAGAGATCTGCTGTGAGTCTGATGGGCTTCCCTTTATGGGTAACCCGACCTTTCTCTCTGGCTGCCCTTAGTATTTTCTCCTTCATTTCGACCCTGGTGAATCTGACGATTATGTGCCTTGGGGTTGCTCTTCTTGACGAATATCTTTGTGGTGTTCTCTGTATTTCCTGGACTTGAATGTTTGCCTGCCTTGCTAGGTTGGGGAAGTTTTCCTGGATAATATCCTGAAGAGCATTTTCCAGCTTGGATTCATTCTCTTCGTCGCATTTGGGTATGCCTATCAAACGTAGATTAGGTCTTTTCACATAGTCCCACATTTCTTGGAGACTTTGTTCATTCCTTTTTACCGTTTTTTCTCCAGTGTTGCCTTCCCGTTTTATTTCATTGAGTTGATCTTCAACCTCTGATATCCTTTCTTCTGCTTGGTCCTTTCGGCTGTTGATGCTTGTGCATGCTTCACGAAGTTCTCGTGTTGCATTTTTCAGCTCCATCAATTCACTTATATTCCTTTCTATTTTGTCCATTCTTGTTAGCATTTCGTCAAATCTTTTTTCAAGGTTCTTAGTTTCTTTGCATTTGGTTAGAACATGTTCTTTAAGTTCACAGAAGTTTCTTACTACCCACCTTCTGAAGTCTGATTCTGTCATTTCATCACACTCGTTCTCCATCCAACCTTGTTCCTTTGCTGGTGAGGAGTTGTGATCCCTTTTAGGAGGAGAGGTGTTCTGGTTTCGGGTGTTTTGATCCTTTTTGCGCTGGCTTCTTCCCATCTTTAAGGATTTATCCACCTGTCGACTTTGTAGTTGCTGGCTTTCAGATTGGGTCTCAAATCTTTCAGATTGACATTCTGTTTGTTGATGATGAGGTTATTTCTGTTTCTTGGTTTTCCTTCTGACAGTCTGGCCCCCCTGCTGTAGGTCTGCTGAGGTTCACTCCAGGCCCTGCTTTCCTGGGGTTCACCTGCAGCAGCTGCTGAACAGCAAGGGTTGTTACCAGTTTTCTTCTTCTGCTATCTTTGTCCCAGAAGGATACCCGCCTAGTGTCAATCTGATCTCTCTTTTATGAGGTGTCTTTTTGGATATATAGGGGTCAGGGAGCTGCTTGAGGAGACGGTCTCTTCTTTATAGGAGCTCAAATGGTGAGCTGCGAGCTCTGTTGTTGTTCATTCAGAGCTGCTAGGCAGGCACTTTTAGGTCTGCTGCAGCAGAACTCATAAACTGCTTTTTGTTCCCAGGTGCTCTGTCCCAGGGATTTAGGGCTTTATTTATGAGTTTCCGTTATGCTACCGCCTTCTTTTTTTTTTTTTTTCCTTCAGACCTGCCCAGCCCAGCAAGGAGGCAGCCTCGTGCTTTGAATATTCTACTGAATCACGGTAGAATCACAGTAGAATATAATGTCACCTATGTCATTTTTGGTTACGCTAAGATCCTCACCCAATAAGTTGGAATCTGCCAGATCTCTCCATGGAAGAGATTCTGCTTTTTATGTGTAAATGATAAAAATTGATGGCATCGTACTTTTAGACTGAACACCTTGCTTCCCAAGTCACACATCCAATAGTTTTATCTTTCATTAATGATCCTTGCCTAATCTGTTGATCTTGACCTGAATGGTTACAAAAAGGTAATTTTTAAAATTTCATCATTTCTTCTGTATTTTTAAGCTAGAATTAACCTGTAATGAATATCTCTCCCATAACTTTAAATGAAGACAGACAAACTGCATGGCAATGACAAACACTCAATAGTTTTATACTTGTGACTATACTTGTTACCATCCCAGATGATGTCATTTAAAACCCAATCATATGTTTACTCACAAATGCCTTGTGAACAGATAGTCTGGCCATTTTCCGTGTCGACAGGGACTTCAACTTTAACTCATACTCTGCACATAAGATTTGTGAAAACTGAAGTGTTGGAATATAATAGCAAGTGTAGACAGCCACTAACATCTAAGCTTAATGGAAAGGAGAACAGATTCAGAAGGTGGCACCCAAGTACCCAAGTACTCAGGGCTTCAAATGTGATTGCAGGGCACATTAGCAAGATTATTGTCACTGGCTTTAAGCTCATGCCTTTTCTTACTTGGTCTATCTGTCTTGGAATGGTACAGAGCTTCTTTGGAATGGCATTTCTTCATCTATCATTCAAAAGATTTAACTATGTGATTACCACTGTTTCTCCAACCTTCATGACTTCTTTATAGTTCAGTTCATCTATGTCTCTTGTTTCTAGGGCACAACCATATTAACTTCCCTGACTTCTGTGCTACATGACAACAAAGAATTTCCCAACCCAGAGAAGTTTGACCCTCATCATTTTCTGGATGAAGGAGGCAATTTTAAGAAAAGTAACTACTTCATGCCTTTCTCAACAGGTAATATAAATTGATTCCCTTGTGTTTCAGGTTACAAGGTAACTTTTTGGATCAGTTGGAACTTACATGTGCCTCCTCTGCAGCAGTACAATTACTCTTTGTACATGATAAAGAACACTGTTCTGAATGCCCATGTGCTCCCCAATCATCATACATCCTCATTTTTGGGCCAGGTTAGTGGGCTTTGGGGAATTAATCCAATTATTCCAAATTGAGAAAGCTGAAGTATAGGTTGGTTGAATTCTGCCTCTAGATACACCACTGAGGTACCTAAAAACTCCTCCTAGAAGATAAAACTAGTAATATTTTCCCACTAGCCATGAGAAAGTTATCTCACTCCACAACTTCACTGAGTGTCTTCCACATGGTGTCCCTTACCCCTCCGGCTGGGCTTATAGGATAATATTATCCTCAAGCAAACAATAGGGTCTTAAAATGCCCTCTTGTGAGTTTGGAAAGCAGAGTAAACAGATCGTTGTAGTTCAATAGGACTGAGGCTGTGATATAGGAAAGAACAGGCTGTGTGGAGTTGGGAGGTAGATGGAAAAGCTGTCTGCTTCTTGTTCTCTCATACCCTACAGTGAGACATAAGTAACATTTTAATAGCAGTAGACATTTGAGCTACCTCAAAGGAGGCAGAGAGGATGATAAGAAAAGAAGGCAGGGCTTTTAAAGAAGATAATAAGCCACAGGAGCAGGACATTGGCTCTAAATAAAGATGTTAGAACCTTTGCCAAATAACCATGGATGGGATCAGGGGGACATTGGGAATGTAGTAGGATACTCTGCAGTGATGCAGAGCACCATGCTCTTCCTCCAGTCATGCCATGTATCTTGAATATTGTATCTCTACACCTGAAATGTGTGGGCTGAGTGTTTGGTGATGGAATCTCCTTCCTTTCTTCTGTGACCTTTGATGTCTTCTTTATCTGGCACTGTAGATACCAAGACAACAAGGAAAGAAACATTCCTTGAAGCATTCACATTTAGCACATGTATTGTCCATTCTTACATTGCTATAAAGAACTACCTGAGACTTGGTAATTTATGAAGAAAAGAGATTTAGTTGACTCACAGTTCTGTAGGCTGTACAGGAAGCATGGCTGGGAGTTCTCAGGAAACCTGAAATTATATTGGAAGACAAAGATGAAGCAAGCACATCTTTCCATAACAGAGCAGGAGAGAGAGAGAGCAAAGAGGAAAGGCTACATACTTTTAAACAACCAGATCTTCTGAGAACTCCCTCACTATCATGAGAACAGCAAGGGGGATATCCCCATGATGGAATCACCTCCCAGTATGTAGGTTCCCCAACATTGGGAATTACAATTTGACATATATTTGCATAAGAACACAGAGCCAAACCATATCAGCACACAAATAAATAAATAAATAAATAAATCAGGAATTATGATTCTAGGTGATCCATGCTGTCTGCTTCTTCTGCCATAACAAAATATCCCAAGACTAGGCAGTTGATAAATAACAGAAATTTATGTCTCACAGTTCTGAAGGGAGTTCCAAGATCAAGGCGTCAGTCAATTTGGGGTCTGGTGAAGGTCTGTTCCTTATAGATAATGCCCCACTCTATCTTTATATGGCAGAAGGGCAAAAAAGGCAGAAGGGGAGAAATGGCTTCCTTGCATCTCTTGATGTTATTATTTTAGCAAGAACAGAACCCTCCTGACTTATTCACTTCCTAAAAGGCCCCATCTTTTTAGTACTGTTGGATTGGGGATTATGCTTCAACATATGAATTTGGGAGAGGCATATTCAGACCATAGCACATTTTTCAATGGAAACATGAATATGGTATTGAAGAAACCCAGAGAAAGCAACATTTTGTTGCACAAGGAGATCAGAAAAAGGGTAAAAAGGTGATAAAATTTGACCTATGTACTGACTGTGGTAATAGAAAAGTTCATCTTTGCCAAAAGGAGCAGCATGATATAAAACTTGAAACCTCATGGTGTGTTGGAGACTGACAAAGAGTGGCTATGCCTAGAGCTGAGAGTAGGGAATGTGAAGAGTGTAAGGAGTGATATGGATCGTCAGACTGGAAACAGAATGTGAAGGTCTGTTTCCATTGGATAAGGTCAAGCCATTTGAACCTTATCCAATAGGATAGACAGGGAAGACATTTAAAGTTTTAAAGTAAGGGGGTGACATGTTTAGACTTTTTTCCCCCAAAAAATACCTAGGGAAAAAATATTTGGCTGCATATTGAGCCAGAAATACAAAGGGAAATGCAGTATGTGAGTCTCCTCCTCTAAGCCCTTGTCATTTCAACCTACTGGACAAGGAATATATGTTTCTAAAGAAAGATTTTAATGAAGTGCTTGGCATGTAGCTGATACTCAGTAAATATCTGTTGAATACAGGGTGCTGTTAAGATCTGATATTAGGTGAAAAGTAAGTATATCCATTCATTTTTCAGTTGACCATCCATCCATTCATTTGTTAGTCCATTCAACAATCCATCCATTCATTCATACATTCACCCAACCACCCGTCTATCTACTCATCCCTCCTACCACTCACCAAAAGTTATTGCATATTCTGTTTGTGCAAGTTACATAGACAGTGTTTGTCACTGTCACAATTACACACGAGGAATAACCACTCTCTGTGTTTGTTATTTTCAGGAAAACGAATTTGTGCAGGAGAGGGCCTGGCCCGCATGGAGCTGTTTTTATTCCTGACCTCCATTTTACAGAGCTTTAACCTGAAACCTCTGGTTGACCCCAAGGACCTTGACACCACTCCAGTTGTCAATGGATTTGCTTCTGTGCCACCCTTCTATCAGTTGTGCTTCATTCCTATCTGAAGAAATGCAAATGGTCTGGCTGCTGCTGTGCTATCCCTGCAGCTCTCTTTCCTCTGGGGTGTTATCAACCTTTCACTATCTGTGATGCCTTTTCTGACCCGTCATCTCGCATTTTCCCTTTCCTGAAGATCTAGTGAACATTTAGCTTCCATTAAGGAGAGTTTCCTAAGTTTCACTGTGCAGATATATCTGCTATTCCCCATACTCTGTAACAGTTGGATTCACTGCCACACAATGCTGATACTTATCTAAAGTTGAGTTATTAATATGTTATTATTAAATAGAGAAAGATGATTTGTGTATCATAATTCAAAGGCATTTCTTCTCTACATGTTCTAAATAGAAAGTGTTATTATTTGCTGGGTCAGTTTATTAGACCCTCCTTCTTTTATGCATAATGCAGGTAAAAAATGAAAGAAAATATTGTTTCAGGAGGCCATGCTGGTTCTCAAAATGATAATCACAGAAAAGACAAAGAGGATGAGGTTAGGGAAACTATTTTGGCTGTTACCAAAATTTAGAGTTACTTTAGTATTTCATTTGAAAATGTGTTCAGTGGAAGCTCCAACCTGTTGGGAAATATTCAAATGATCAGCTATAGGGAGGAATGGGCATTAAATATTAGAATTCATATGTCCACATTGGTGTTCCTTTTTTTTTTTTTTGAGGGAAAATCTCACTCTGTTGCACAGGCTGGAGTATAGTGGCATGATCTTGGCTCACTGCAACCTCCACCTCCTGGGTTCAAGAAATTCTCTTGCCTCAGTCTTCTGAGTAGGTGAAATTTCAGGTATGTGCCACCATGCCTGGCTAATCTTCTGTATTTTTAGTACAGACAGAGTTTCATCATGTTAGCCAGATTGTTCTCAATCTCCTGACCTTGTGATCCACCCACTTCAGGCTCCCAAAGTGCTGGGATTACAGGCATGAGCCACGGTGCCTGGCCTGCTGTTTAGAGTGTCATTACTTTATCTGTAATTAAAGAATCAGATAACTAGGATTGCTGGCAAGATGGTCAAATAGGAACAGCTCCAGTCCGCAGCTCCCAGCCAGATTGATGCAGATGACAGTGATTCCTGCATTTCCAAATGAAGTACTTGGTTCATCTCATTGGAACTGGTTGGACAGTGGGTGCAGCCCATAAAGAGCAAGCCGAAGCAAGGTGGGGCATTGCTCACCTGGGAAGCACAAGGAGCTGGGGGATTTCCCTTTCCTAGCCAGGGAATCCATGAGAGATTGTACCCGGAGAAATGGTGCATTTTGGCCCAGATACTGCACTTCGCAACTGGCAGACCAAAAGATTCTCTCTGGTGCCTGGCTCAGCAGATCCCACCCCCATGGACCCCAGCAAGTTAAGATCCACTGGCTTGAAATTCTCACTGCTAGCACAGCAGTCTGAGGTCAACCTGGGAAGTGGGATTGATGGGGGAAGGGGCATCCACCATTGCTGAGGCTTGAATAGGCGGTTTCATACTCACAATTTAATCAAAGCTGCCAGGAATTTCAAGCTGGGTGGAGCCCACCATAGCTCCCTGTGACAGAGCACATAGAGGAAGGGGTGGCTGTGGGCCTAGCTTCAGCTGACTTAAATGTCCCTGCATGACAGCTCTGAAGAGAGGAGCAGTTCTCCCAGTACAGTGTTCAAGCTCTGACAAGGAACAACTGCTTCCTCAAGTGGGTCCCTGACACCCAGTGTATCTAGACTGGGAGACACCTCCCAGTAGGGGCTGACAGACACCTCATACAGGAGAGCTCTGGCTCCTATCTGGTGAGTGTCCCTCTGGGATGAAGAAACAGGCAGCAATTTTTGCTGTTCTGCAGCCTCTGCTGATGATACCCAGGAAAACAGGGCCTGGAGTGGACCTCCAGCAAACTCCAGCAGACCTGCAGCAGAGGGACCTGACTATTAGAAGGAGAACTAGCAAACAGAAAGGAATAGTATTAACATCACAAACCTAATAGACCAGAGGTAGATAAATCTATGAAGATGGGGAGAAACCAGTGAAAAAATGTTAAAAATTCCAAAAACCAGAATGCCTTTTCTCCTCCAAAGGATCACAACTCTTCACCAGCAAGGGAAAAAAACTGGACAGAGAATGAGTTTGATAAATTGATGGAAGTAGGTTTCAGAAGGTGGAAAATAAAAAACTCCTCTGAGATAAAAGAAAATGTTGTAACCCAATGCAAAAATGCTAAGAACATGGAAAAAAAGGTTAGTTGAATTGCTAACTAAAATAGCCAGCTTAGAGAAGAACATAAATGACCTGATGAAGCTGAAAAACACAGCATGAGAATTGTGTGACGCATACACAAGTATCAATAGCCAAATCAATCAAGTGAAAGAAAGGATATCAGAGATTGAAGTTCGAATCAATGAAATGAAGCTAGAAGACAAGAATAGAAAAAAAAGAGTGTAAAGAAATGAACAAAGTCTCCAAGAAATATGGGATTATGTGAAAAGACCAAATCTACATTTGATCAGTGTATTAGAAAGTGATGGGGAGAATGAAACCAAGTCGGGAAACACTATTCAGGATATTATCCAGGAGAACTTCCCTGACATAGCAAGGCATGCCAACATTCAAATCTAGGAAATACAGAGAACACCACAAAGATACTCCTTGAGAGGAGCAACCCAAAACATATAATCATCAGATTCACCAAGGTTGAAATGAATAAAAAATGTTAAGGGCAGCCAGAGAGAAAGGTCGAGTTACCCACAGAGGGAAGCCCATCAGACTCACTGCAAAAACATACCAAATCATAAAGACCATTAGCACTATGAAGAAACTGCATCAACTAACAAGGAAAATAGCCAGCCAGCATCATAATGACAGGAGCAAACTCACATCTAACAATATTAACCTTAAATGTAAATGGGCTAAATGCCCCAATCAAAAGACACAGACTGGCAATTGGATAAAGAGTCTAGACTCATTGGTGTGCTGTATTCAAGAGACCTATCTCACATGCAAAGATACACACCAGCTCAAAATAAAGGGATGGAGAAAGATTTACCAAGCACATGGAGGGGAAAACAAAAAGCAGGTGTCACAATCCTAGTCTCTGATAAAACAGACATTAAACCAACAAAGATCAAAAAGGCCAATACAGGAACACCCAAATACATAAAGCAAGTTCTTAATGACCTACAAAGAGACAGACTCCCATACGATAATAGTGGGAGTCCTTAACACTGCACTGTCAATACTAGACAGATCAACAAGACAGAAGCAAGTGTATCCAAGACTTGAACTCAAATCTGGACCAGGTAGACCTACTAGACATCTACAGAACTGTCCACCCCTAAACCACAGAATATACATTCTTCTCATCACCACATGGCACTTACCCTAAAATTGACCACATAATTGGAAGTAAAACACTCCTCGGCAAATGCAAAAGAACATAAATTATAACAAGCAGTTTCTCAGACCACAGTGCAATCAAGTTAGAACTCAGGATTAAGAAAGTCACTCAAAACTGCACGACTACATGGAAACTAAACAACCTGTTCCTGAATAACTACTGGATTAATAATGAAATGAAGGCAGAAATAAAGATGTTCTTTGAAAACAATGAGAATGAAGACACATTATGCCAGAATCTCTAGGACACATTTAAAGAAGTGTCTAGAAGAAAATTTGTAGTACTAAACACCCACATAAGAATTGAGGAAAGATCTAAAATTTACACAGTAACCTCACAATTAAAGAACTAGAGTAGCAAGATCAAATAAATTCCAAAGCTAGCTGAGGACAAGAAATAACTAAGATCAGAGCAGAACTGAAGGAGATAGAGACACAAAAAACACTTCAAAAAAAAAAATCAATGAATCCAGGAGCTGGTGTTTTGAAAAGATCAACAAAATATATAGACTGCTAGCCAGACTAATAAAAAAGAAAATAGAAACGATTCAAATAGATGCAATAAAAAATAGTAAAGGGGATATCACCACCATTCCCGCAGAAATACAAACTAGAAATTACTACAAACACCTCTATGCAAAATAAAACAGTAAATCTAGAAGAAATAGATACATTCCTGGACACTTACCCTTTCCCAAGACTAAACTAGGAAGAAGTTGAATTCCTGAATATACCAATAAAAAGGTCTGAAGTTGAGGCAGAAATTAATAGCCCATCAACAACAACAAAAAATACTGGATCAGTTGGGTTCACAGCCAAATTCTACCAGAGGTACAAAGAGGACCTGGTACCATTCCTTCTGAAACTATTCCAAATAATACAAAAAGAGGGAATCCTCCCTAACTCATTTTATGAGACCAACATCATCCCGATACCAAAACCTGACAGAGACTCAAAAAGAAAAGGAAACTTCAGGCCAATATCCATGATGAACATGGATGCAAAAATCTTCAATAAAATACTGGCAAAACAAATGCAACAGCACATCAAAAAGCTTATCCACCATGATCAAATTAACTTCATCCCAGGCATGCAAGGCTGGTTCTACATCTGCAAATCTGTAAATGTAATCCATCACAGAAACAGAACCAAAGATAAAAACCACACAATTATCTCAATAGATGCAGAGAAGGCCTTTGACAAAATTCAACAGTGTTTTATGTTAAAAACTCTCAATAAACTATATATCAATTGATCATATCTTAAAATAATAGCTATTTATGATAAACCCACAGCCAATATCATACTGAATTGGCAAAAACTGGAAGTATTCCCTTTGAAAACTGGCACAAGACAAGGATGCCCTCTCTCACCATTCCTATTCAACATAGGAAGTTCTGGATAGGGCCATTAGGCAAGAGAAACAAATAAAGCCTATTTTAATAGGAAGACAGGATATCAAATTGTCCCTGTTTGCAGGCGACATAATTGTATACTTAGAAAACTCCATCATCTTAGCTCAAAATCTCTTTAAGCTGATAAGCAACTTCAGCAAAGTCTCAGGATACAAAATCAATATGCAGAAATCACAAGCATTCCTATATACCAATAATAGACAAAGAGCCAAATAATGAGTGAACTTCCATTCACAATCACTATAAAGAGAATAAAATACCTAGAAATACAACAAACACGGGATGTGAAGGACCTCTTCAAGGAGAACTACAAACCACTGCTCAAGGAAATAGTGAGGACACAAACAGATGGAAAAACATTCTATGCTCATGATTAGGAAGAATCAATATTGTGAAAATGGGCAAACTGCCCAAAGTAATTTATAGATTCAATGCTATCTCCATTAAGCTATCAATGACTTTCTTCACAGAATTGGAAAAAACCACCTTAAACTTGAGAAAAAAAAAGCAAGGAAGCAAGCAAAAAACAAACAAATGAACAAACAAACAAAAAATGGTGGAGGCATCACGCTACCTGACTTCAAAATAT